ACCTGAGTGTCTTCAGATTTAACTAGAGCGTCTGACCTTTGCCTCACAGACTCTATTATGTTCATGCCTGCTCGGGAATTCCGCTTACACCGATATCCTACTACGCATTCTAGACTAATCTGAATTTCCTTGAGTCAAGATCTTTCCGCGTATTTTAAGGGCAGCTGGTAAGTTGAAGCCTCTGGGTACCCTGAGTATGTGAGCAATTAAGTATGATTTCCTGTCTTTCCGATTTTTTAAACTCGTTTCATTAAAACAATTTTATCTAGCTTTTTTCTTGTATCCCCCTTTTCACCACTTTTTGTTAAATCGTTATGCATGAATGATGAATTAACAAAATGATGGGGACAACAGGATGGGGACAAAAAGGGTCGGTATTAAATAGATGTTTGAACAAAACAGGAAACTGTTCAAAGCACCAAAGTAAGACAGGAAATAAACTAGGGACGGATAACTAAATATCAGCGCGAAAGTAACATACATGGACCCACATACATAAGCAATCTAGGATTAAAAACGACATTAGTAACAGTAAGATGAAGTAAAACAACTTCAGTCACAATACTCCAGCACTACAGTATACAGAAGCACGCGCTACTGCCCCCGTATCTAGCCATGAAGACTCTTAAACTCAGGGTGACATGAGTTCTATTTGGCAAGTGATCAGAGCTGGGTAAAACATCGTCTGTGTGAACTAGTTCATAGCAATTTGATCCATATATTACTCATAGACAGCGCGCACCTTGGAGAGGTACTGGCAGGGTTCAGCGGGCAGCTGATGGCGTGGCTTTTTAAATGATTTAAACTGTTTATAAATAAGTGATAAATCAAATTTGATGAAAAATTCCAGTACCTGACCTCCAAATTTCCACAAGTTCTAGCTCCCCCTTATTGTATTAACTAACCATATATTTCTTTTCATTGTGAAATAATAACATTGTGTTTAATCAATGCAGAAAGGACCAACCCCACTTACAGCTATTTCATTTAAACCCACAAAAACGACTATGTGACGGTAAGCAAGTCTTCTATGCTGTTTTGCGTCATCTAAATCATATCAACGATACAATTACACTACAGAGAAAACACGTTGATAGATCATTTTCGTTGTTGACAATCTTGAAGACCTTGAAGTAAGAGCAAATGCGTGCACAGAAATCCGCGGATGGGTATTTTAGATAACATATGCATATGAAATCTGATGCAATCCAATGAAGGACAGTTTTGGAGTCCGCCAACCTTATGCTTGAAGGACTCAAGCAGAAGTCCACCAAGATCATTGTTGCACGGTCTTACTGCAGTGTGGGCAGAGACACGACTTAGGTCCGGCACATCCTACCCAGAGAGCAGTATCGACACCGCGGGATCCCACCATTATCAACCAGGTCACCAACGCCGACCCTTAATCGCAGGACGATAAGAAGGAGTACCATAACTCACGCTACCTGTGCACAGTGTGATCGTGTTGGTTGTTTCGTATTTATTATGACTTATTCATCAAATCATCTGCATCCTCTCCATCAAATAAACCTTGCCTCATAACATCAATGATCAATTATATATATTGTGTTTGTAGTGTTTGCGAACACGTAAACACGCCTTCTCGGGCACGCCGACTTGTTTTTCGAACGACGACTTCAATGACAAAAGCGAACATCTACAAATAGTAACGCAACAGAAAGAAAACAAATTCGTTGACCTTAACCGACCGTTGTGTACCCGGTCGAAAGTTCTAGATTGCCTCTCGCTTCGTGTTCTCGGCGTTCAACTTTGAAATTCATTACATACATATGCAATTAAATCATATCTCTCGTCACGTAAGAAATCACTTCAGCCTAAAGTAAAGGACTGAAACTAAAAGCTGGCTACCTAAAGAACGCGATGTTCATATAATAAAATAAATTCTTGCCCCGATAAATACCATAATCGTTCTCATTCTTAACTCTTATAATCGATACACTTTACGCAAAGTATATAAGGATATTTATAGCAAAATAAAAAGAGAAAATCCTATCAAATAATATATATATATATATACGCAAAAATTATAATTATATATATATATTTTTTTTTTTTTTGTGTGTGTGTGTGTATACGAGGCAGCCAGGTCTACGTTCAGAACTATTTTGTAGTGAGTCATTGATCCTACATGTAATAGCGGCAAGGGCTAAATAACCAACGTCCCTACCTAACAGAACTGACAGTGGAAATCGGCTTTGGTTCGCAAAATGTTGGGGAAGATAAGAAAAAGATTACTGCTTGAAGTGGGGACGCGCCCCAAGCATCGATATGTTCTCCCGAAAGAGCACTGAGATGATTGGATTTCAGTGGCGCAACATGAAATATTATTTCTTGTATTCTGATTTCTCGACCTTGAAATTGACCTGTATCTCAATAAAAGGAACTATTTTACAAGTTACCGTGAATTCGTTTTGAATGTTATTTATTCGAACATTATCACAATTCTTATCTCTCTCTCCCCGTCTGTCCCGTCGTCAATTGATCAAACCAGGGTCATTTGCCAAGTACAGGCTTCACAACACAAGGCATTACGTTCAAACCCTGCCTTGTATTAGCATGTGCGGTGCCCTCCTACAAATACAGTGCCAACTGCAACCTCAGAATTGTTTTTCTCGACGCATAATCGATACATAAAGTGGTATAAGAAACCAAAAACAAAGTTCTTAAAGAAACCAAACAGCTACTTCTGTCGCTGTACTATCATTACAAAATTACGACGCATCAAGATGGGTCTCCTGACTTTTTCTTGCAGCCTGATTCTTGTCAACCATCCTGATTTCATGCTCTGCTCGACTGCTTCGTAAACCATTGGCTTCATTTGTTCAATAAGAACGCACACACCTCTACTCTTGACTTTCTACTCTCTCTCTCTCTCTCTCTCTCTGTGTGTGATTGTATCCGTGTGTGCACTTCTCTCTCTCTCTCTCTCTCTCTCTCTCTCCTTTCTCTCTCTCTCACACACACACACACACACACACACACACACACACATTTTCCCTCATGTTTACTTTGTCAGAAGATTCAGCTTCCAGGAAAATAAAATGGGAAGCTGTAATTTACAAGATATCTGCCGTCATAACGCCTACAAACGTTCAAAGACACCATTCATACAATGCCTTCACTCTAGAAGCCTTCAGGAGGTTATGGAGACCAAAGGGAGAGTTATAAATCTTTCCCAGCATTACTTAAAACATGACCGTGTCATAAATACAACAGAAAGCAGTTCAATTCAAATTCTGTTTAGCAATCAAAATTTGCTCATTAGTACCAGGAAGTGTCTATATTTTCAGATAATCAGCTCACGATTTTAAGATTAAGCACACGCGTCCTAAGAACTGTACCACTAAGACGCGAGTTATTTGTGGCGTTGATCTGAGGACAAGTGAAGCTGCATGTGTAACGGGATCCGCCCATCACATGACTGCCGTGTAACCTGTCTGACCGCAGTGACACTAAGCCATTTGCCATGCTTATATAACACACCGCTTAAGGTGCACAGCGGAACGTGACACTTTTGTAACGTACGGTGACTTGCAAAAGTACGATTGAAAAAGATTCCTCCTTCATACCAGACATCGTGATAATGTTTACACATGGGGGTCGTAGACGGCATGTTTCATGTGATATAATTCTGTGCAAAAACCGCGATGCGCTTGTTCGATACAGTGACCTTTAAATCACCATTTTTTAGCCATGAAAAGGGGGGAGTCAAAAAATAATTTAAGAAATGGGACGAGCAAAGTGAAGCTTACCTTTACAGCGTTGAGACCAGGAAGTCATATTAAATGATAATGCCTCATAAAATAAAACCGAAACCTATTTGCCCAAGTGTAAACCACTGAAAAAAAACTCTCTTTTGCCGTTTAGATCACGGGCATCGGTCGGGTTGTGTTAGTAAACTTGCAAGCCAGCCAGGGCAATTCACGCGGGAGCCTCAAAACTCTATTTCGTACACGCATCAGTTCACAACATGCGGAAACACACACGCACTGGTTTAATGTGTATGAACGCTGCACGTATAGATAGATTCTCCAGATCCAACTTATCCGCACAGTCTGGCCTCGGTCTCAAAAGAGTACTCGTGCAAGGGCACGTTGTTATACTTAATTGGTAGGCAGGCACAGTAACTCTCTTAACTCTAAGTCAGTATGTTTTTTTCCTTGCTTGGTCCTCCTTGATTAACAAAATATGCTAAATACATGTCCGGGTGGCACACCACGTGTCCGGGTAAGCCTTGCAGGACGGGCACCACATAGTATGAGCTGATGACGTTTCTCAATACAAATAACTCTGCCAATGACGGCGTATCTATGGCAGTTCTGTTGTTACATTTAGAGCTTCGAGAGAGTCGACCGGCGTTCAAAATTCTATAATTGGATATATACTTTGTTAACATTTATTGAAATTCATATCAGATGAATGAATGATTATATTTGTATGATAACGATGCCATATTTATGGCTATCAGGTGTGTCTGTCTTAAGACATAAGCTGCCTTCAATTTCCACTTATCATAATGATTTTCTTCATCAAACTGTCTTCTTGTAGGTAACTTTTTTCTCTATTACTGTGTAACAATGTTCAGTGACGTATCACCAAAACATGTACGAGGAACGCCTAAATACCTCGAAACTGAGGGTGTCATTACTTCTATCTAGAGTTAACCAGAATATTTTCATATATCATTCAGAATTTCAGGTCATTTTTCTGTTCATATGTCCTCCATCAGTAGCTAAGCATTTAGTTCAATGAACTGTTAGTTGAAAAGAGACTGACTGAAAGAGTAATATGAAACCTTTGAACCTTTGACCTTAAAGCCAACCTCTGACCTCTATCTTGACCACAATACCATAACTGACCTTTAATCCATGCACTTGTCTCTGGACAGCAAAGGTCATAGATAATTTTCTCACACATGATATATTCAACAGCATTCAGACACCTCATCATACATCATATACGACAAAAGCTGAACTTACCAGTGTGAAAAAGGACGGCCGTCCTAAGTAAGTCAAAAGTACGGCTGTTCAGACCGAGATTCCTGAACTTTTGGATCACACGCTCGATCTCCTCCACTCTCCCCACGGTGGGCGTGTCTTGGTTGACCGAGTTCCCACACTGACAGCTGGAGCATGAGGAGGACGAGGAAGACGCAACCGAAGCTGTGTCGCTTACGTCGTTGTAATGAGGAGTTACCACGAACTGAAAGTTGTTCTCTGACATAAACAGTAGGACGAGCCGAGCCCAAGACGCGTTTATGAGCCCAGCTTTGTCTCTAATTGTAAGTCGCTTGAAATTTTCCAAAGAATTGGCAAACTGAAAGGTTTTCGTCACCCAGTCTGAAACCCTGGAACTGACTGGTTGCAGATTTTTCTTGGCGAGTGTCACTGGAGTGTTGCTGGGAATTTGAGATGGTTTGAGCTTCGTATCAACCTTTACTTCTGCCATTCTGTAAGTCTCAGTAACGGGGCCCGAACATGTAGATGGTTTCTTATAACGTTCCAGCAAAACCTTCAATATAGAACCATCTACTTGGCAACAGGGCATATTTAACAGCCCAAGACCGTCGCCAAAGCCTTCAACGCTGTCACCAGAGGTGCTTTGTTGCAGGGCCATCTTGCGGTTGGCTTTCTTGCAAGACAAATCTATTGGCTGTTCGGTCTCTTGAATTGGCAATGATGCGGATGGTGGAGTAAATGGTGACATGGAACGCGATGACGATGAATAAGATGATGAGCACCTAAGGGGCGGTTTGCTATCGCTTGATGAGGCCTCAGCAAGTGCAGAAAACGAAGCTGTGCTCTGTGCAATTACTGGCGAGGGGGAGCTATAACCATTTGGAATGGACACACATTTTGTCCCAATTTCATGGGAATAATATCGAATACTTGGAGACATATTTCTGGTTACTGAGACCGGCGACCCGTTGTGGACAGGCGTCAAGCAACCAAGGGGACTTGGGGTGGACTTAGGACTGTTGCTTATAGACCGACACTCGGAAAAACCATTGAACCTCTCGGACCCGAGTTGTATGTCTGCTGCGGTCTCTTGATCAATTCTTACCCCCGAATGCGCCAATCTCAAAGAAGTTTTTCCTTTTTGCTGCAGAATGCATTTATCATAATAGTCCATACCTTTAAAGCCCATGAGTTGAGGAAGAGGTAAACTTTTTTGCCCAGAGCCCCAACCCCATTTTGAAGAGGGCAGGGGATTGCTCATCCTGTACTTCTCCTCGCCCTCCTCGTGGCGTCTTTGGTTATTAAGAATTTGCACATTTGCAGTTACCAGGTACTCCTCATTCATATTGGAACCATTGCTTCCTAAGTTGGTGATGGGGTACTTTTCAAGTTTAGGGCGCTTCGGTGACGGATTCAACCTGGCCGTATTCTTATCTGTCTCGTAAATTCTCCTTTTTGAAGAAGCCGCTAACGACGATGGCGGTGTCAATGATTCCTGCCTCACCATATATTTCGGATTAAAATCGAAGAAGTGTGGAGATCTTGTTGGCAGTTTGGTTGCCTGGAACCCGTTGAAACACGACTGGGACTCGTAAGGGATGTTGCCCGCGCCGCTGAGGAGATTTTGTAGGATCCGTGGCTCCTGCATGTGTGCCGGGCAGGGGCATGACGGGAGGTGGTCCAGGGTGGCTTCGGTCGTCATGGAGATGTGGGTTTGGTCAAACAATCTGTAAATATAAAATACTAACAATAAACACCGTGTTTACAGCAGGGAAATATTCATAAGAGCTATTGGCGTCGTATAATGCCACTAAAACGTGTCTGGAAACATTAAGCTTTATATATATATACAAAATGTAGACAAGGCTGCAAAATCTGTTTAACAATAATAAAATGCTATAGCTATGATACACATATTGTTTAATCCATCTGTGGTGCAACAATACATTTTAATTATGTTAAACAGGGTGTTATTTCCAACCTTCACGAATTGGTAAACTAAATTTACAAGACAGCAAAGCTAACAGGAGCAGTGACATTTAAACGGCCAAAATAATGAACAAGCAACTTATCAAAGAAGGGTCAAAGAAAAAAGTGAATTTTGATGCAATATTATACAACGTATAACAGCATTGTCACTTCCAATTTACACTCTATGGTTTTACTCTGTACAATCAGAGTATGTAACTAGCGCAAGGCTTCAGACCCATGGGAAAACATACTCACAGCTGCCAATTTGTGAAAATTGTAAAGTTAATAAATAAAAGCTAAAAGCAAAAAATACTATTGTTTGGTACGGCTTTCGAACTCAATCTATATTGCACTGTAATTAAATAATTCTTGAAAGTTGGAGGCTTATTAAAAATACAGTTTTCTTTTTAGCTTCGGTGACAGTGCACAAAATGTTTTTTATCTTGGTACAATATTACTTAATGCTAATTTGTTTAAACGGCCTTATTTCTATCAAAGCAGACTTAAATTTCGGAGGTATTATCTAACAAATACATAACACATTTTTCCGTGCTGTTCAGTAACGGGAAGGTATATTTAATTATTTTTAACAGAAAATTAGGACATGGGACTGACGGTTTGTCCATTTCGTCATTCTCAAAACATTTAATTGTTTCGGCCAACAAGTCCCACAAAAGAATTCACCATCCTAGACACGCAAACGACCACTTTAAACCATGTCTTTGCCTTACTGGGACAGATTCTGTATTCCTGTCTTTGCCATAAGCGTGAACCTACAAGTATGTATACATTCCCACATATTCAGGAAAATGTGCCTTCCGCAAGCACGGGGGTGGGGGGAGAGAGAGAATGGCGGCAATGTTGGAACTTACCCAAAAGGAGAATTTAAAATGTTTTGCATACATCTGCACGAAGGATGTACACTATTTTCTTTAAATTCAGAGATTGTTGATTGCCATGAGATAACTCTATTGGTACTGATGAACCCGGTGGTTATCTATTGTACTCTGAGTGTACTTACACAAGCACGCGTTCAAGACAAACGCAAACTCGACTTTGTAAGAACTCATCTACCTACTGGTTTATACAAAATGAATGCCTTTTTCAAAATGGGCATATGCATATGAAGAAGAATACAGGGTGCATATTGTTATGTTTATCCTTAATGTGCCCAGTTTTGCCTTTGAATTCGTAATGAACGGTAGCTGTCCCAAAAACAATATAGGTATTAAATTTTTCTCATTATCTATTCTTTTGATTTGATCGATTATCATTCTTTGAGTACACAACGGTGATAGCACTAGCAAGGATATTTATTTGTTTTTAATATATCCATTCATAATTTTCAACGGTCATATAACTATCAAAAATACAAATTGACGATGCTAAATTCCTTCAAACAAAACTTATATTACGCCTGTTTAAAACACTAATTTGGTTAAACTTAAAGTAATGTGTAGAGGTACATGGTATTTTCTTTATAAAATTTTATAAAACTCATTTGTTTTACTTTCAACATTAACAAATGAGAGAATCTGGCTTTAAGTGGCACAGTAACCTGCCAATTCTGTATGGTTATTAATAAAGAAACTCAAGATAACCCTCTATTTTACTGGCCATCACAATTACATTGAGCTAATGGAAATGTGCACTGGAGTGAACCATGCTTGAAGCCAAATAACCGTCCTTTATATAAATTTCCAAGAAGGACTTATTCATTTGTTACATTAATTGCCATTTATTCACGTTACTTTTGGGTTATTATCGGCTGATAAACCATAAGAATTTAAGGTTCTGCAATAAAAAAGGAATAGAAAGATTTCTATAGTTATTGAATAAAAACTATAAATTACTCGTTATTTTTACTGAACCAGAAAACTCTACTGTGATAAAGGGGCGCTTTAATGCTGAGTGATGATTGGACAAATTCATAGTTCTACATTAACGTGATATTGTGCTCAGAGATCAGCATGTCTCCAGCACGGGCTAACTCCTACAATATGCTTGCTCTTGCGCAGGTTAATACAAAGGGCTTCACTGTCATATTTCACTTCCATTGTCATATGCATGTTTTCATTACTTCTTTGGATATCAGTCAGAAATGATCTCTACATCCACAATGTCTCAGGCACAGTTCAACGGACATTTTCGATAAAACTGTCCTTTTTTGGTAAATGCCAAGTCAAATAAGGTTCCAGGTGTGGCTCCGTCTACCATTAAAAATGTTAACATGTTACCTCTCGTCGGCAAAGCTATGTGTTAACATCAGACCCAGTAATCAGCTTGGCGCCCCACTGGAAGTCGTATCGACTGTTAATACCACTGTCCTCATATTAACGACACGTGAGCCTCTCAGTCTATGTCATTTTCAGTGGACATGGTACACGTGACAGTTATGGCATGAAAAATAAACCAAAGACCATGTCACGTTTAAGCTATTATTACACTAGGTTTGCGACCATTATTACACTTGGTTTGCGACCGCCTGCAGAACAAATTCCCTCAATCTCAGTCCGTCTGTGCTAGGGCTTAGAAAATATTTGATGGTATCAAATTCGTAATCAGAGTTCATAAACTGTAAATATTACAGCCTTTTTTGTTCCACATTTATGAGAGTGGTCCACAAAAGCAAAACATTTTATACGCACTCTTCGGATAGATCCGGTGTAAAACTTGAGGCGCACTTCCAGACACGATGAGATAGCCTTTTTTTATCACAGTATACCTTTAAGTTTTCTGACCTCACGAGGCCAGTCTCCATTGCCTGGCATCACACAACGGAGTCAAATTGGGAGTTAATCTCTGGCGGTGAGATTAGATTCCCAAGGTTTACAATGTAACACTGAAATGTCTAAAAATTACCCAAATATCAACCTCTGTTTTCATCTCTACTCAATATTCTATCTATAACACCCCAGCTGCACATGGGAGAGTCTGAACACAACACATCAACTGTCTGCACTCTGTGGCCCGCTTGATTTAGAGGTCGGCGAACTTTTTAACACAGGCACTGGGATCAACTGTAACCTATATTACTGAACTCAGGGATTTTATCTTGGTCGTCAGCACGAGATTTCTGGAAACTCATAGAACAGATTAATTGGAATGATAAGGAAAGATTCCAATCTTGTCAATCTCAGGATATATCTTAACATATACTTTAACAGTGCCCATTTGTCCGACTGAAGCAAATGTTGGAAACCGATAGATGAAGTTGCGTAAACAGAGCAACTGATAACTGCACTGCTGGGCCAGAGGACTTACAACCAGCAGCTACTTTCTAGACCTGTCTCCCCAGGGTCTGTTAACCAGCTTGACTGGCATGTTATCGGCAGGAAATCAACTCGAAGGAAATGTTACATATATATCATCTAGACATCACTAAAGCCACCCGAGAGATTAAATCGGAAAGTTCACCGAAAAGTACATCATAAAACATTACTGCACATACCTAGTCGGGTCAAAGCTCGATAAATTGGATAAGTTATTATCAAGGAATTTTCTTGCGTTCTCAGCGAGAGAATTAACATTGAATGTTCGCACTAGCCATCCTATCGTGGACCAATGGTTCATGTTCGCACTAGATATCCTAATGTTCCAGTTGGGGCTGGCAAATTTCTCAGGTAAGATCACTTGTGACCTTGACCTTACAGACCAGAAAGAGATAGTCAAAATACATAAATAAATCAAATTCCGTAAGCTGTGGCAAAACGGCGCCATACTACATAATTGACCTTACTTAGGTTTTTCCTAGTTCGCAGGATACGAGGCATGCCTAAATTAGCTCAGATACATCGATATAACAAAACGTGGACTCGGCATAACCATCTCATAATACTGCTGGAGTTAAGTATTAGGTGATTAATTGTACCAGCATTTTGTTCCAGCTACTGAAAAGAATTACAACCTTCTGTAAAGCATCTACATTCACACTGCCCCGTTAACCCTCAAGAAAGCACAATAATAATAATAATAATAATAATAATAATAATAATAATACGTCCCACACCAACAGCATACATTTCTTGTTTTACGTCCCATACAAAGAAAGCACGTCGATCTCTTTATTGTTGTGCTCGTGGAGGAAGCCGTCTGAGTCAGCGATCGGAAGCCGAGGTCACGCGAACTCAGGCGTATTGATCGACATGGTTTATATAAAGCCTGGATGGTTCCAGTAAAGAGTACACAATAAGGCTGCGGATGCGTTATTTTTGCTTTCTCGGACCAGGTTGATGGATAAGCTTTAATATACCATATTTAAACATTATATAAATATGACTTACGGCATGTAAGAATAACGAGAAAAAAAGGTTTCTTAGAAACTCTTATCTCGGGCAAAGCAAAACAAAACTAAATCACCAACTTCAGTGATTTTAGTCAGAATATCTAACTCAAATAAAACTCGTCTTTTATATTTCCAGTTGAAAAGCTAAAAAACAATACTTCAAAAATGTACCTTTATAACTACAGTATCGGGGGTCGATACTCATGACCCTTGTTTTGTTTCAGTGTACAGCATAGAAACTGAGCTATCTGATCGCAAACTTGGCTCGTTGGACGCGCGCCAGCACTGGGAGCTGTCGGAGGAAATTACACAGATATAAATGTCTTCATTTTCTTCAAGTTAACAATTAGGTAACTGGCCCTATTTGCGATTTATAAATTATGATACCCTCATATCATTTTACTAGTGCAATCACTTTTATCAAAAATTTAAAATAAACTACAAATGCTTCGAAAAGGCTTCCCTTCAAGTCCAGTCCCCGACTGCTTTGTTCCGTGAACACCTTGGCCACTTCTTATAAATAATGTTGATATCAGATAGCCGGAGATAACACGCTTTCAAAAGCATTTTTAAAAGGTAACAGAATGAAATAAGCGACTCGGTCATTATGAAACCCAATAAAATCAACTTAAGAACACCTTGTAACTAGATTCATTTATTTATTCTTTTGTTATTTCAAACATATTCTGAACAGGTACGTAAGCATCATATACTTGGTTAAATAAATAGATGAGTTCGGGCTCAGAGGAACTGGTCATCGAGCGTATATTTTACTGGAAATTACCTATTCTAAAGATCCTGAAAGTAAAGGCCTACCAACAGTAGGTTAGCTTGGAAGTAGAATATATACGGATCATCCGAGGAAGTCGGTATATCGAGAAAAAGTTGAAAAACAAAGTAATACCAGCAAACGTTGATGTATCACTTCTATCAATTAAGTGGAGTCTATTGGTTATTTTATATAAAGTACAAGCCTATGAGAAACTTGTAACTATGGTATCACTACTTGTTTTTCAAAGATTCGAAACCAAACAACTGTATATCCATTATGAAAAATGAATCGCTTGCCCTAACAACCCAAACTGAAATTCTTTTCGGACAGCACCGGTCAATTTGACCCAACAGCAAATAGGAGGTTAAGGAGGAAGGTTAACTCACCGGTCGATGTCTCCGCATGCGGTATACTTTGTTGTCGTACTCCGATTATCTCTGTCTGGGTTAAAATACTCGTTAATTCTATCGGAGTGTCGCGTTCCATTCGCAACTACTGGCGTTTCTGATATAACTTTAACCTCTGACTAACTTAGTCTACCTACAAGCGTTCGTACCGATTGGCTTAGAGCGAGGCTCTCAATGGGGGGGATATAATCAGGTTAGGTCAGTCGCCTTCGCTTATACGCCACGTTAACAGCGTTATTCAAGACTTTAAGTGCTGAATTATAAAGTTATGGTTTCCTCACACTTAGAAATTATATAATAAATTAAATAATTTATAAATGCTAAACGAATTATCGAAATAATGAAGCAAATCGTTTAAAAGTACATTAACAAAAACGGCTCTTGTCACGTGGCAAGACCCCGTATATAACCTTGACCTGAAAGCGATGAATGAATAATGGAAATGGATGAAAATGAACGAGTGAAGAGAGGCGATATAAAATTCCATGTCAGAAAAAGAGAAAAAATTAATCATCTTAAATTTTGCCCAATTTCTGAAATATAAATTACAGTGGCGACTTAATTGTTCCCTTTCAGCAACGAAAGTCTTTGTTTATATAACCAGTCCCGCTCAAGGTCGGGCGTACTAAGCACGGCTGTATATATAGAATGTTAACATGACCCTGAAAGGATGGCGTTTGTTCCAAAACCATTTCAGGGAGACAACAAGGGAAGTTATTACAATTATTTCTCATTTTGGCGTTCAGATGCCCAGGATTAATTCAAACATTTCTGCAAATGATATCTTAAGTGTTTCAATGAAAAGCAACATAAGTACGCCAGGTGTAGAGATAAATATAGGACGTTTTAGACACACATTAGGTCACAGACTCAATATTTAATGAGATGAGCGCAGGTTGTGCCGCAGACTTAAGGACCACAATGTGTTTGTTGCGAAACGGAAAAATTGGAAAGCACAGTTGAATTTTTCCGTAAGTCAAAAGTTAAAGATATAATTGTTATCGAATGGTTAAAGTAACATGAAAAGCGGGCGTGGATTTCCAAAAACGCATAACACCCATACCCAATTAAGAGGTGCAATTGAGGTCACTGGCATGCACTTAAAAATATTAAATGCACAGATTAGAAACTATGTTTGATAATTTAAGGGTCCTACATGAAGAAGTTCGTATCAAATTTTCACTGCATAAGAACCATGAATAATAAAAAATAACTCGCCATCTAACCCCCCAAAAAACATACGTCACTGTCACAGATGGCACACTTTCTGCTACGGAAGTGTTTTACTCACTTTGAAAATTCGATCAGCACTGTTTTCGCTCTTTAATTTATGTCATACAAGCATTATGATAATCATCTGTATAGAGCTATGAATATTTATTTGACGATTTTAGTATGTCTTTCACTGAATATCTTTTAAAAAAAAATGCAGTATACCGACAGTCAAAGAAGCATTAAATGAACTATTTTTTACTCGTGGTGCAAAGAATTATGTCAGAAATGTCAAGCTTCACACTACAGATGATTAATTTGACAACATTAAACCCATGTTACTTATTACACTAAGTGCTTGGACAAGTATAACCTTTTTCGGACATTTTTCAGGGGTACAAATGTACATACGTTACTTATATTTTAGCCATGACGCAAAGCCCCTGGGTTACAATTTAAATATGGATTCTATGGTTAGATGCTTCTTACTAGTATATTACGATAGAAATTACACGTGGATTTTTGTTCTATACGCATATACAGTATGTTTTAAGTTTTTGAATACAACGTCAAATTCTTTCATTTTTATTTTTCTGACTTTTTTTAGACTTGTGACATTTCAGCTTGGGTTTGGGTGATAAACGACTTCTTTTAGTTTCTTACACGACTTAAATGAAACCGACAAGCCAAGATAAACCAAATTAATCTCTCAGCCCCAAAACAGCTTTAAAACTGCATTTTCTTCAAATTTTTGGAAGTCAATTGATCAATTTATCTGTCCCTCCAGTTTCCCCTGAGTGTCAGGGCACTATAAAGCTTGCTTGCTCACTATAACATTTCATGATGTGGTAGCTTTTCAGTATGTGCTGAGTTATGGGTTATATATGAAATCAAGATCGAGCTGGCAATGCTGAAATCTAGAGCTAAGGGTACTCCAGTTGATAAAGGTCCGCTAAATGACGTACTACTGCGCGTGCATTAATTGCATAATCATCACTCTCACTTTCACGTGCGGATGTATTACTGCGCGCGTAATATTGCCTACTTATTTGAATGAGACTGCTGAGCGATATTTGTAACATAGAGAGAAAGCAAATATTATCTGTTCAAATTTCATTTATTGGGAAATATGAGTATTTCTCTAAGTTATAGGCCTGCTATTGCAAACTATATGGATTCGTTTTGCCAAGTTTTGTGGCAAAAATGCCTTTAAATGCATCTTTAAAAGTTATGTCAACCATTGAAAAAATGTTTATAATGTTTACATTATTGGATTTTATTATATTCTAAGCAATGGGAGCTTAAGGGACCTTAAAAAGACGGTCAGTTTTCTTTAATTGCAGCGAAAAAAAATTCATAAATATAAAAATATATATTCACAAAATGAACTAAATTATACCAGTTAGCAACAAGCAAAACATTAAAATAGCATCACGGTTTTCAAATAATGTGCAATAATATAACACATACAGACAACAGTCATACACCTGGCATATTTTAAAACTTTATTTTCAGGTAATATTTACTATTAGAAATAAACTGATCGTTTTTTGCTGTTATTTCATGCTGGGCAGGTAAAATGATGTTATAAGTTTAACATTTTAGCACTTTTTTTCAAAAATTCTGATATTTTATTCACGGCCATATCATGGCAAAGTAAAATATTGGTAACTTTGATGTAAATGCAAGTTTGGTTCCCTCAGTTAAAGAACGCATATCACAAAAAGATTGACAAGTTGGAAATTACATGGAGCTATTTTGTTTATCGTAGGAGTTTTTTCCAAAACATTCATTTTCTTGTAACAAAAATTTTCAAGTCTTTCAATCTTATACGTAACATATATATACAGTGGGAAATACTAAATAATCTATATTGGGTTAAAAGCATCAGGTTATTTTTCTTTAATAATAAATTAATTAATACGTAAATAAATAAACAAATAAATAAAATTGCTTATACAGCATGTACCTGCGAACTACAATAGATCTAATAAACATTAACTACAAAACAAAGTTTAACTGAATGGATAGCTATTTTTAAATCAAACCTTGTCGATTAATGGGCATTGAAACAGCATAGCAATATATCAAAGGCGTTTTAATTAAGATATACACGACTGTTAACATTTGTGTTGAGGTGGCATTTATTCTTTTTCTTAAATGTAAAAGCATTTCATAGCCCATATATTACTTTTCTCTCAACACACTTACTAATAATAGATACAAAACATGATCCTCATGAAAAGCAATAGGGTTCTTCCTAGACCAATAAAAATCTAATGATTTTTAAAACAATAATCAGTAAAATTATCGTGAAACTTCTGGCTACAAACAAACGAACAGACCAATATATTTACAAAAGATTTATGGTATTAATGGTTTTTCTACGTGCCTCTCTTCAGCCAGTCTTGTCTCATTGAGACTCACTTATGACAACACTAATGGTGTGTGTCATTAGAGTGACGGTGACACGGAGAACGGGAGACATTGTTTCTGCGTGACACTTGTCAAGCTGCTCGGGTGTCCAGCATCTGATAAACGGGCATGGCAATCGGGGACGTCAATATACATGTACAGTGTATATGTAACTTAGGGGTCAATGATCTCGTGAGCGTTTGACTCAAATGCCACTGTTCACAAAGCTTTAACTGTGAAAACAACTGCTGGGGTCAGAGCAGTACATGTAACAGAGGAGGGGTTCATCTTATCATCCGTATTTTTTATTTTAAGTTAAAGATACACTGCATGTGGAGATTAGATTAGAAGCGATCACAAATAAGCGTTTTACATAACTTTTGTATATGGCGCATGGTTAAGAATTACTTACACAATAAGCTTAGCTGTGCTATGGTATTAAATATTCTGCATGCATTTTCATTCCACATAATGCCTGTTAAATTAAGAAAAGAACTACTTAAATGACTTTGTTAAAGACTTTTGGTATAGCCTTCCAGAGTTACTCAAGTTATCTTTATTTCCAATAAGGATTATCACAATATAGTTAGATTAGGGTGGAAAATCCCGCATAGGATACTTTTAATTACTTATGACGATGCTTCTTGTTGAAATTATCTAAGGGCATAAAATGACAGATAAATGATCTGAATCAATATCGCAAAAATAAATAAATAAATAAATAATCAATCATATTCAACGTCCCTGTTAAACTTCGATAGTCAGCCATCTTAACACAGTTTGAAAAGAGCGCGATTTACGGTATGTTGCAGTAGCAGCACTGAATGCAGACTCAGCATTTCAAGCTCCTGTTTGAAAGGTTATAATGTTTAATGATATGTTGTTGTTGAAATAATAAAGACAGGGATGGTGGGCTGATATGGTTGTAGGGATGTTTGGAAGTCATCTTTAGGATTCCTAATTTTGCTAGACTTTTTAAAAATAAAATTCCTATTTTTTACTTTTTTTTTTGAAAAAAAAACCTTATTTTCCTATTTTTCTTATGGTCCGTTATAACTTAACTGTCCCGCCATTACTATGTAAATTAGTATTTTGATATTCGTGCACATACGTAAATCACCTTCGTTAGTCCCGGCAGCTGACAACAATCTAATACCTTCCTGATTCTTTTGACCTTTTTAACAAATAACAATGCACGTTCGCAAAGCAAATTTTTGTTCTGATTTATTTAAATATCCTTTAACCTTCGATATATTCATTTTAACGACACTCCTGCAATAGGGTCTTTGAAGTAATCTCAAACAGTTGTATTTTGGTTTGCATTTGATTATCATTAGGATGTAAAGATGACATTTTTTCTTTATTTCAACAGGTAAATTGAATATAGTCTTTAGCATCCTTCATTGTCGTCAAATACATATATCTGCATTTAGTTTGGTAAAATGGTGTTACTTTTGTAAAATGACATGTTTCCCTTCTAGTTCAAATAAATTTCTGTCTTTTAATTAGGCAAATGAAAAGCACGTGTAACGTTTAGTATATCTTTTCAAGTTATCTGCATAAATGTAATGACAGGTTGATTATTAAAGAAATATTTCTTGGTCAAAATTTAGTTGAAAGGCCTACGTGAAGTAAGGAGAAGAAATGTGCTCTTATTATGCTCCAGTCACTAAGTCACACTGTAAATACATATTCACACGCGCTGTCTGTGGCCGCCTGGCACACAGATTGATTTTACACTGGATATTTCGTTATTATGTCCAAGATGTCAATCAATAGTTTTGACCTTGAATGGACTGAATGGCTCCAAAACAACTGTCCATATGAGGGCCAAATCATATGATGCACTGGTACATGGATCTGCCGTGAACCACCCACATCCTTGGACATCTTTACTGAAGATGAAAGGGGTCGCTGTCTTTTTAAATATCAATTTCAAAGTAATAAATTATCATTTCCATTTATTGCCTGGCACGAACACCAACAATCGTAGTGAACTGTGCAGCTCTTCTCTCCAGTGTACAGTAAGTCTAATGGACAAGTATTCGTTATCAAGATAGAAATGTTACGAACTCCAGTTATTTACATGACGTTTTCAATAATTAATTAAACTAATCAATGTCGTTCTGGTTTTTCACCTTAACAGTGAATGAACAAGGAAAATAGAAAATAATGGCTGTACATGACTGAGAGTCAAACGTTGAATATTGTTTTTGCAAAATATTGTAATTCAAAGCTGTATTTGTAACTATGTCCGACTTTAGATGGCCATGTAAATTAAGCCCCTCGAATCTGAGTTCACCCTTGCAGCAGGCTTCATTATTCATTAACCGTTCGATTGTATCCAAAAAGAATGGTAATTGGGTGGTCATGTAGAGCTGATTTCAAAAAGCGTTTGTGTCTTCAAATGATTAATTCTTTGTTTAACTTACATGAAAAAAAAATAACTTCAAACTGTCGATACTAGTACACTGTACCAGCTATGAAGTAAGGCGCGTGCATGAATGTCATCTGATTGATATACAGGTACATGTAAGTTCCTTAATGCACCTGTTATCAATCACATAGCAATAGAAATATAAAATAACAAACCTAAAAATTAGTTTTCTCGCGTTTTTCCGTTATCAATAAACTCGATATTTTAATAAAAGCACTAACTTATGGCTAATCGTGATCGTGAATGACAAATTAATACACTTCTAATGCTACTTCTAGTGTGGTTTTTTGAATAATTCTGTAGATAGGAAGACACGGCTACTGGGGTACACCAGGTAAATGTTTCTAACCAAGGAAAGCTAGTGACAAAACACATCGATATACCCAATGCATCTTTATCTTATTACTAATTAAAGAAAAACATTGCAACTCACTCGATCTATCGATAGCGCTGGGCAGTCGCTGGCGACGTGGTCCTGTTCCTGTCGCAAACCTCCACTACAGAATGAAGTCTGGAAATTGCATTCCACTCTTCCGACCAACACGTTGTGTTTACAGCAAGCTGCAACTACACTGTACATATAGAGGTTAACTGGTGACAGTACACCCGTGCTCAGAACAAGGCCATCGTGACGTCAGCGCCCGACAGGTAACAACAAAGAGCAACACAAAGCCCAACTTTAAGTGTAAACATGGCAAGCTTGTCCAGTGAAAGGAAACGAAAAAGGGAAGGAATGCACCCAAAGGCGGCTAATATTTGAAATAATAACGACCCTAAGAAATCCAAGAAGGTTTCTAATAGTTTAATCAGTTTTACGCTGAGGAATGCAAATTTACATGCAAACATCATGTACATGTACATGCACTAACTAGTAAATAAACGATTCGTTTTGCAGTTAAAGCTTTATTTTGGTTGCATTATGCAGTCTTTCTAACACAGCATTTCTCTACACCTTAACTTATGGAATCAAAATCAACCATTCATCACTTATATATTCAAAAATCACGGCGCTGATATTAAAACGTCTTATATAAAACACGTGTACGCACCATGTGAGTACTGAAACAGAATAATCCTTATTACACAAAGCGCGTGACGTTGGAGATATCGATCAAAACAGTAATTTCCACGTGGCCTTGGCATGCTAATGCTTAGTACGCGTGAACGTAGGTTATAAAATAGGTCTTTGCCATAGGATCAGTTTACATGTTGAATGGATTCTACTGATATACCGGTCCATTTCTGGGCCATCGGTCTTTTGTTTTCAGGGCCATTTACACATTCCCTTTCTTCTTAGAACCCAAAATTTCATTATTGGCATTGAACTCACCCCCTTGATTGCTGTATCTATTAAGAGGCGGTTTATTTAATAAATTATGGTGTTACACTCGTCACACATTTTACCTTTGGTCAGTTTTGTTCAGTTGCAGAAAAGGAAAATTCATAAATAATAAAGCGTATTTATGAAGCCATAGCATACAAAATGACACCTGGATGCATCGACTTATTGACATCATCAGATCTACGTTGACAAAGCAATATAATACCTTTTTATTGAAAATCTTTTATAAGCGGTCCATTACTCCATAACAAAAACCTTCAAGCCAAAATGACGCCCATACATGTAGATTTATGGTCAACTATGCCACTTTTCTTGAAAAAAATCCTGTTCAGGGTTGTAGTTACGCCTCATATTGATTGCTATCTTACCTTAAAATAGAAAGGTGTTAAATTGACGATAAAAGCTTTGAGTGGCCTTTGCTTATACAATATACTTATACCATATTTTATATGTTTCAATGGGATTTTTATTATTTTAAATCAGCACAAAGGAAGATGCATTATTGAATAATCAAATGCAGAAAAAACTTGTTTACGGTATGTGGATGATAATAGACCCTTACGTGTGAACAGGACGCAGATTTCATGGGTCGCTTTGTACATGTATTAAGCGCATGCAGGTGTGTATGGCACAATATTACGACAGCTAGCGGGGCACTGTGCACTTCTGAAGGTCACAGATCATATTCCATCTGTGCCTCGTGTAATAGATATGGGGGGAAGGACCGGACATGGACCTAAGAGCGGTGTGTGCCCCCAGGTCGGTATTCGAATAGGAATGTATATATTCAAGGTCGTCTTAAGTACACGTGCAGTAAATTAAATCAAAACAAATGAAATCATGTAAGATAATAAAAAACTAAAATAAAAACATAGACCAGGGCGGTCTCTCGGACTGTTCCTCTACGCGACTTCGACAGGACTGGAGTTCGGTAATGACCGACTCAATCTTGTTAATGGGGAAATTGTGAATTTACAGATACTGTCTTTTTTTAGTCATTTAAGTTCTTAAAAATGAGTGGTAACAACAAAATTGAAAAGCAGGCTTACCTTTAATTTTATTCCGTACTGTGAAAGCACGAAAAGCTATACAGAAAAGCATCTTTCATGATTCCATAATTATTCCCCATTGATTGAGTCATTTACCTGTACGGGGAGCAGCTCCGTGAGTGCGCGCGCGCGCGCGCGTGTGTTAATGGGGGGTGGGCATGCTTTTCGTATGTATTATTTCTATCCCAGGTAAAATTTTCACTGGAACACATGGAAAATTTTACGCAAAAATCACTTTAATTTCTTTTACCGTAATTCTTACCAAGAAACGTTAGGCATTGTTGTTCTATCTGATATGATCGATCTGTCGAACAAAGCAGGGAGGTACACTGTATATTGACGTTCATTGTATGCAAACCTGTTTACAGCAAGGGTGAGAGGGACTTCCATTTTAATTTTAGATGGCACTAAGAACGATCAGTATCATACATACATGTACATGTAGATCTATCCACGTTTCTCTCATACAGTATGTCCCTTACATTAGCTATAGCCCACCCTCTACCAGGGCCACAGATTTCCACTAGATATTCACAGCTGTATGTCTCTAGCTTTTTATGCGCACTCTTTGTGTAATGAATGAGGCAGAGATATCTGCACGTAAAAATCTAGTAAAAATCTGTGGTCCTTGTAGAGGGTAGTTCTATCTGGACCACCTTCCTTGATCCATATTCTTCAGTTCACATTTTAGGCACGACGTCCTTACATCCATCTTTATTCTGCATGGAAAATTTTCAGTCGAATTATTTTCACGATCCTGTTAAAATTGAATTGAAAAATTGAAGTAAAAAGTTTACTTGCTTTACAGCTTTTTGCACTGATTCTACTTGAATTGTTCCCTATCTCAATTAGAATTACTAGTATTTATATACATACAGTATGTGGGGCCTAGGTTGAAAAGTACTACATGTACATATTATATCATTTACAGGTATATCAGTACATGTATGTGCACTGACTACCGATACATGTACATGTACTTATATATCGATAGAATTAAATTAGATTTTAACACTGCCTATAAATGCTTGAAAATGTTTTCGTGAACTGAATAAAGGAATGATGGACTGATGATACACCGCAATGGGTCTATTCATGCATTTGGTTCCACTTTATTTGGACACACACACACACACTCCGAGAGAAAGTGAGAGCTAGATATTTGCTATTTTATCATTATTAATTGCATTTGTTGAGATAGCACAATAAACTTGAACAATGACAGAGCAGGGAATTATTTGCTGCGGAATAGCTCTAACAATGGCGGAAGAAAGCGAACAATTTGGGCGACATAGTGCAAGAATTCGCCACGGTCCGCGTCCTATAGCTCCCACTGGTCATGAAGTTAAACGCAAAATATCGGTAGACAGCATTGAAAACATAGGTAAAACTTAAGATGGTTGTTTCGAAGAAGTATTGCCTCTATGCGTGCGTTACTAATGTAAACAGTTTTCCATCTGTTCTCTCCTTACTGTGGTAAGTGCCTAGCATGTAAGGCGGAAAACTGAGGCAAAATTATCACTAGACATGTCCATTTTCTCGTGACTCATATGACACTAGTAATATTTAGGAGCACTCGGTTGTGGCAATTGATAGGAATTTCATTTGAATTGTTTCAGGAAAAACTAGTCCATTTTCTACTGTATCAGAATATGCCAGAGTCAGATCAGGGTCATTAGATGAAACAGGAGCATCAACAAGACCAAAATCTCGCAGAGGAAGACCTGAAGTTACTTCAAACAGCGACGTTTTAGAGCAAGCTGGATTTACAAGGGCATCTTCTAGTCTCTCAGATTCGTAAGTAAAGTGATGGAGTGTTAATATTCATGTACGAGTAAATACATGTAGTTTAAAATTACAGCCAAATAAAAATGGTATATTGATGAAAATAAGTGTAACATTGCCACATATACCTGTAGAATACTACATGTACACGTGCAGTGCCAGTAGCCTATACCAGCTGACAGTGAACTGTAATGTGGTATTCACTACCCGGGACCTCTGCAACAATGTACTAGTACTAATATTATGCAAACTCATCTACACAGGATTAAATACAGTTCACAAAAGTTTACCATTCATTATTTACACATGCAAACCATATTAAAAGGTCATGTTAGTGAGACGTAGGGATAAATTGGACAAGGAAAGAGTAAATGTAGTCTGCCCCATTTATCAGCAATAAAATGCAAGGATTATTATGATTCTTACATCTTAGGGACAGAACATTCTCTGAAAGCATAAGCATCACAGCACCATAGACCTACACTGCACATGTACATGTAGTACAACATTTAATGTATGCTGTATCTAAACATATTAATGCCAAGAATCCAGGTCACAATATTGATAAGCAGAAATTGGAAAATTTAGACATGACACCAAGATATTTTGGGCGATAAAATAGGCTATAAACATCAGACTACATTACCCCAATTTGAACAGGGATGGTGGACAGCTATATTTGCCAAGTGTTTGGGAAAAAGTTTAATTTTCATGTCTCAAAGTGGAGGACTCAGTCCTCCAACCTTCTATTTTCCACCAATGTTTGCAGTGACAGTAGTGGACAATGTTGTGATGAAGGTCCTGTGAATAGACAGAAAGCTGGACTGATGTTCAGTGTGATTATACACTGTACAATGGAAAAAAGTTTTAAATTTTGTGAATAATACAGTATTGGTAGGTTTTTTAAGGGAGGGTGAAGAAGATGAAAATAACATATATCTATTCCTAGACTATTTTTACTCTTTGTCATTTGGGAACCTACTAGTAGTGTGTGGACAGCAATTTTTCAACAGACTCTTTTGTATCCTTATTTTCTGTTCAGGAATCATTGTTTAGTCCCAGCAAGAAAGAGGAGCATGATCACATTCTTAGACGAATAAGACTATTGATATATTTTTAGACATAGCAACTACAGACCCAACTCCCAGGGTGAAGATATTGGACTTACACCATCCCCGCCACCTCACCCACCCACCTCAGCCTCACGGCGGAAACCCAGACCCACATCTGCCAAGTACCGTGTTCGAAGACAGTCAGCATCAGAACAGCATGAATCCCAGCCTGACGCAATGTTGTCAGCTTCACCACAGCAAAAGGCTTCTCAAATGGTTCCTCACCCCCCATATAATATTGATGGTCACTATGAGGACAGATTAATGTCTCCTGGGTTGCCAGGTACATTTGTATTGTAACCACACTTTTTTTAACTTGACTTTTAAAATTGTTTTTTCCATATTTTAGACAGACATTATAAGCCTTGACATATAGGCATCCTCTGTCCTTGTCACTGTTTTGTCTTACTCATTAACACACAGACACAAATAGAAAACTGTGCTACTTGTTATTATAAATACGTACAAGAAGGGTTTACAGGACTAAATGACTGCTCAAGTTGGAAAACCAACCTGATTGTATTATTTTTGTACAAGTTCTGATGTTTTTTTTTATTTATTATTATTTATTTATTATTATTATTTATTTCTTTTTGAAATTTTCATTTTTAACAAATTGACTTGCAAGATGCATCTTTGAATTAAAATTGGTGGTGATTATACCATTAAGCATTACATAATGATGCCTCAAAGTTGACAAAAATATTTTTTGCACTTTCATTGTTAAATTGTATGTTCATTACAGTTTAAAACTTTTTTAAATGCCACTGCTTCTTTTTGTTTTGTCATTTATATATCTGTCCATTTGGTAGCTTTGCTCCTGTGTATTTTGTATTTTCTATTTTGTATCACAGGCCAAAATTACTAGAATGCCTCCAACAAATCTCAGAATAAGAAACTTAAAATGATTTTTATGGAGACAAATCAAATTAATAACTTGTGAAATTACATGTGATACCTAGCAAAACATTTTGATTTATTTAAATACATTTATTTAAACACAATGAATTTATATTTATATCAATACCTTCAGGTACCCATGGAAGACCACCCTCAGCAAATCTGAACAGGTACAGCCCCTTACCAGGGATTGGACAAAAACTTTCTCATCAGGCTCCAGACAACGTCACCCAAAGCATGACATTAATCAATCTGAACAGTAATTCAAATTTGATGAAACAAACAGAAAACTCGAATTCTCAGAGGTCTTTGTATAGGCCAGGGTCCAGAGAAAACCAAGAATTAATCAGCAGCACATCTAAGCAGAGTTGGTATTCTCATAGTAATAATCAACCAACAGATGGAGGCACTGAAAATAGGGTTCCCCAAGACACTCCCTGCCATACTCCAGAGTTGAGTGACACAGCTGCATATGACTCTGAATCACCTAGAAAATTAGAGCGTGAAATCTTGTTACCACCAGAGCCAGGGGAAGGCGAGGAGTGTATAACTCTGGCTGTGAAACTCCTCAGTGGGAGAAGAGCCATGAGGAATTTTCACCCTGAGGATATGTTGCAAAGTGTGCTAAATTTTGCTGAGGTTCAAGATGGATTAGACCTTAGTGGATATATGTTGGTCTCAAATAGTGTTCCTCCTCAAAAGTTCCCTGATCTCTCCAGAACTATTGCTGAGTCTCATCTGGAAAACAGAACTGCCCTTCTCCTCCACAGAGGAGACCAATGACATGTGGCTCTAGCTTGGCTTTTGTTTTTTATCAAGTTAACTCAAATAAGATGTGTTAACCAGGCATGGAGTTGGGATAAGTATTTGAGAGAAGCATTTTTTTTTTTTTTTTTTTTGAAAAATGGAAGTTTACCTTTTAATCATTGATGTGGGTCACAGCTAGGTGAACATTGTCAGTGGGCTGTGTTTCACTTTCCTTTCTTTATTTATTGCTATTGGTTTGATTTGATGAATGCTATAGTATTACCATTTTTCCACTAAAACACGAGGTACTGGTACATGTACACCCGTATGTGAGATTGATCAAGTTGAAAGTGTTTGATGTCTACATGTAGAGTGATACAAGACTGACCTTAGTAGTATGCAATGACCACTGCTGAGCAGGAACCTTTGCCATTAAGGTTAATTAACAATTGCCCTGAGCTTCAGAGTTTACTTGAAACATAATCAACATGCCTCTGCTTCTTTCAGGACATCATGAGTATCAGGGTGGAGAGTGGAGAGACATGCCCCTGGTTAGTTTCCAGCAGTCTTGAAGGCCCTTTTTACATTGTGTTTTACACTTTTCTGTTTTGCACATTTTTTACCAGGTCCTAACTAGTTGCATTGAGTTCCATTTGCTCTGTAGGTGACTTTTGTTTGAAATGGTTACTAGGTTTTTATTAAGTTTTAAGTTGTCAGTCTTTCAAGTTGGTGATAAGCAAAAGGTGTACTGCATGGAATGGGTGAAACAGGTAGCCTGTAGGGTATGTAGACTAGTTATTATGTGAAAATGCAATCTAAAACCTCACAAGTGTGTAGCCACTGTGTGGCAATTTATGGTGTAAAATGGTCAGTAGACATAACTTGCCCTTATATGAGAATGTCATATCTATATTTATATGGTACTGTGTCTGCATACTGCATAGATAAGGGTGTATTCACAATGGATCTATCCTAATAGCTATAGTGCACACTAACTCCATTGGGACTCTTGCTGAATGCAATCAGATTAACAGATTAACATGTCTCTTGTCATTGAGTATACAGAAAAGCTGGTGATTATGGGAGTACATTGACAGCAAGAGGAGGCATGTTAATCTGTTATTCTGATTGCATTCAATGGGAGCCCCCATGAAATTTGTACACACTGACTAGTACAATAGGTTCATTGTTAATACACCCTTATATACTGTTAGGCCTGATTCTGTATTAACTAGTACTTGGTTGATGCTACCTTGCCTTAAGTATCCCCATTTATCTTGCTGACAAATCTGCCCCCTATTGAGAGGTAAATGCCCTCCCTTGCACATAGGTAGGAGTACAGGTACATGGTTCACCTAGTCACATGCCTGGATACTGTATTAGAGTAAAGTAGGCAGTGTGCAAGTAGAAAATACTCATTGGAAACTAAACCTAGGTTTTAGTTAAAGGGATAATAACTCTTCGTATGAGATCTATATTTCACAATAAAAACAATGTGAATAACTCATAGAAATATAATATATTCTGTTTTACCACAAAAACGGCAGTTATAACTATTATTCTGATATCTGAGCTTGTCTTTAGACCACGTGACCTCCATCGATGGCTATACTCTGTTAAAATCTCTTAAGAGATTTTAACAAAAAACAAACTTTTTGGAAAAAAACCAGGGACTAACTTTGAATGTAAAAATGGAATCATTGGTTTTTTTTTTTTAAACAACGTTTATTCAAAAGAATGAAGTGGAGGCAAGGCGCTGGAAGCATTATATGCTCTCCACAAAATTAAATTAAATACGTAAATAAATAAAACAAATGGATAGGTATATACATATATACAACAGAGTAAATGTAAAACTTCATATATATCAGGAGCACAAGTTAAGTACAGAAAGAAAGAAGAGGAAAAGAGAGTACCTTTTAAGTGATAACAAAGTTTACGAGAAGAAAATTTGCAACAGTGTCGAAGATAATTTCATTTTGGGTGGGTGATAAGGATTTATGACCGTAGAGAAATAACGACAGCCTTTCTTTTTGTGTTTTGAAAGAGGTCTTGCTTGCATGTAGAGTTTCATTTATTTTCTGGTAAAGAGGAGGGTACTTTGAATTGAGTAAAGGGCATCTGAAGAAAAAGTGAAGAGGGGTTTCAAGGGCACCACAGGTGCAGTGTGGTGTATCAATAGTAGTCCAGTTATGCCTAAACANTCGATTTAATTTCACTAATAGTGGATTGTATCTGAGATAGGGAAGCATCAGTTCTTACAGGAAAGAGAATTTCGCCAACATTTGCTACAGAGTCCGAGTGGTACATTGATGAGAAATAGGACAAAAATTCATCAGCCTTTTCTTGATCAGTAGAAGCGACAGATCCATTTCTCGGGTTATTGAGAATAGGAATAGAAGACGATCGCTGTTTCCCAAGAATATTTTTCATTACGGTCCAGTATGATTTACTATCATCACCTTTATTGTCGAGGCTCTCTATTTTGGAATTAAGGAATGATTCTTTTGTTTTAATTATTAATTCTTTAACTTTTATCGCCTGATTTTTGTAATTATTTTCATTCCTTTCTGAAGGTTTAATCCTCATTTTTTTATATAGTTTCTTTTTCTTATTTAACTCATGCTTGATTTGATTAACCATTGGTAAGAATGGGAAAATTGTTGTTTACTCCAGGAAAATTCATTTTTTGGCCGAAACGAAGAGTTATTATCCCTTTAAGTGTATGTTATGTAATACATGTGGTAACTATGGGCAAATAAGTTTTGCTTTCACTTTGCTAACTAATATCACAAATATTTTGTGTGATCTCATATTTTGATGCATTTCTGTGATGAACCATGCATATTTATCAACGTCTTTATAGTTTAGTTAATTCAAAAACATGTCTTTTTAATTGATGCCAAAAATTGCCTATTTTACCAGTCATGAGACATTGATGACAGATATTACCTATGTGTCTGTAGGAACAAAGCTGTGCTCCTTGACTCTTACCATCTGGTTCACATTGCCCAGGCCTTGGAGAGAACATAAATTAATGTTCACAAATTAGACCAGTAATAATCAGAGCTGATATATTTTTGGATGTGTCTGATTGTGAATGAAGACTAAGTCAGTGCTGAAATGAAACTAATAATATGGTCATTATCTTTGTGCAAGATAACACTTTTTGTGCTTTCAGTCAGATTTTTTTTTTTTTTTTTTTTGAAAAGATGCCTTTTTGAGGTGGTTATTTGCAGTTAATTTACAGATTTGAAGACATGGATGTCCACCTTGAAAGATGGCAATTTGTCAAAGTCAGGAAGTAGTTTCCACGTTTTAATATATTCATAAAGGAAGTTCCAATACCTATGACTTGTCAGACTTCAGTAAAAAAACATTCCAGAGAAGTGTCACCTTTTATTATTAATATTATACATGTAGAAAAGGAGATACAGACTTCTGAATAAAGTGTATTGATTTCTTACAGGACTAACAAGTCAAAGGATTTTGCTTGGTAAAGTTGAAGTATTTTTCAGAAAACTATGCAACTTCTTTTAAAGTTACACTTATGAAGTATTCCATGCAAAAATGAAAAGTACGCCAAGCACTTTTGTAAGACTGGCTTCCCAACTCTAGATCGATCTAACAGGATCGGTCCATCTCCACGGGGTTTCTCGCTAAATTGCTTTCAGCTGAAGTGGCTTAGATGTCTGGCACGCCTGCTAAAGCTGCTAAACGATGTGTATTACCCCCTGTCAGCTTCAGTAGCCGTGACAGACATCTAAGGCTGTATTTCCAGAGCTTTTAGATCGATCTATCCCCGACGGGAGTCTCACTAGATTACTGTCAGATAATCCGGCTTAAATGTCCGTCCCGCCTACTACAAGCTGTAAGGGGGTAATTAACTTTCGTGTCCGCCCGGCTGACAGCTATTTAGCGTGAACCCCCAGGGAGTTAGGTCGATCTAAAGTAGATCGATCTAATCTCTGAAAATGGGGTCTAAGCCGCTCAAGTTAATTGCATTTAAGCGAGAATCCCCTCGGAGATAGTTCGATCCAAAGTTGGTACGATAGGGAGTCTGGGAATGGTCTCTAAATGACTAAATTAATAAAATTTCTTGTCAATGAATATTGTTATTCTGAGTTTTTCTTTTTTAGATTGAAGTACCCTCAAAATCTTACACGTACATCTGATACGTACATAACATATGATACATGTGTATGAATACGGATACTGAATTTTTTCTGTTCGTAAAGCCAATCTATATGGACACCAAATACATCTTCAAATGCGAGCTATGCTGAAAAAACAAAATTCCCTCCAACGTTNTGTAACGACCGATCTACCTTAAAGCAAACCGTGATTTGGTGTCTTCCACTATAGAATGCGCTCTATTTAGAAACAACATTGGAGTGCGGACCTATTATACAGGTTCAGGAAATTTACCATAACATTCAACGTCTTTCAGACCTTTTACGCCAAAGCCCAATATAGAGGTGCAATTGCTGTCACAGGCAGTTTGAAAACTATATGCCTGATTATTTTAATGTCCCAAGTGAAGATGTTTGTATCAAAGTTTCACTCTCTTGGAACCATAAATAATAAAAAATAATTCATCTTCTATCCCCAAAAAGAAACATACGTTACTGTCACAAATGCGAAACGTTCAAGTATTAAACGTTTTACTCATTTTGAAAATTCAATCATCTCTGGTTTTGTTCTTTGATTTATCTCCTACAAGTATAACGTTGTAAAAATTATAATAATCTTCTGTATAGAGCAATTAATTGTCTTTGAGCAACTTTAGTTTGCTTGTCACTGAATATATGAAAAAAAACGGGGAAAATACAGCCTACCGACAGTAAAATAAGCATTAAATAAATTATTTTTCCTCTCGTGATCCAAATATTATATCAGAAATGTCAAATTATCATATGTTTTTCGGTCCACAAAAGAAAACATTGTCTTTGCACCAAGTACTAGAACAAAATGAAACATTTTGACAATTTTTCTAGGGCTACTATTAGCTATGACGCAAAGACCTTTGAGTTACAGTTTTAAATATTCATAAAAACATCCTTACGTCATGTCTTATTTACAATGACTGAACCACTGCAAAATAAATTGTAACGCCGTATAAAAATTAAAATTAAATGACACGGAACATACGTTACCGTACGTTTTTGGCACGTGCGTTACCATTTAGGGCTCTTTGCGTAATGTAAAAGACATGGTAAAAATTAAAATTTGAATTTAAATTGAGACAGTCGTTGATTTTTGTTCTATACGCATATATGTTTTAAAAAATTGAATACAACTTTGTATTCATTCAATTTTATCTTTTGACGCTTCAGCATGTGAAATGCACCTCCATATTGGACTTGGGTATTTAACGTGTTAAGCAAGACTAATGCCACAACTGTAAGCTAAATGTGATATCAACCGCAGTGTTGTTTTCTTCTGAGCGGCAGCATCAACATCACCCCGTAAAAATTTAACTTTTAAGGGCGTACTGTACTAATACCGGAAAGTTAGCAGATTTGATTAGAAAAATGACATTCTAGCTTCTTGTAGGCCCCAACACCAGTCCTCAAGGTCACTAGGTGGCATGAGTATTCAAATTAAAACCCCTCAGGAATCTCCGATCAGCACTGCCTAGATTGCTGTGAGGGTGTAAATCCAATATATTAAACTAAATCATTAACATGTCGTAGAATATTCCCTGTCCACTGGTTTGCTTGTGATAGATATTATCCTGAAACTAAAATCGAATATCGCTAATGACGGGAAATATCATAAAGATTGTTAGATGCATGAATCAATTTCGGATAAAAAACATACCTTCATTAATACAACAAAGATGAAAACGATCATGAAGGTTAGTTCAGGAGGCCAAAATTGGTCTTTTAGTTGAACAGTCATCAAACGGAGCTCGTACAATCTGTACGTAATACGTTGTCTGTGCACTCCCATGTACGGCGGTGCACCCACGTGATCATAACAAAGAGAAACACATCTTCAGATTCGCACAGGTGAATTATACTAAGCTTAAAACATCTTTATTGCTGTGATGCTTTCTGCATCCACCAAAAAGGGCCAACGAGACCAAGATTAATCAGTAAAGTTGTCCGTTGAGACGTTTGAAGAAAATAAACAAAATGATTACAGTGATGAAGCATTCGGGAATGGACAGAATTCAATTTTTTTTCAAAGACAACCCACACTTCAACAGCCTATCCCACGGGAATGTTCCAACCAGTCACTAAAAGATGACGATTTTAAGGATATTTATGATAGTATCTTCCGGGGTCCAACGCATTTTTACAAAACAGAATCTCAAGTTTGGCTTAGAAGTTAAGTGTATTTATGTCCATTAATCATTTTACGCATATATTTTTTCCTGATATTTTCTAATGCCAAGTAAAAGTGTTTCATAAAATTTTAACTACATGTACTGTACATTGAACTTAGATATTTTTTAAGTTTTTCAGTGTTTCAGCTTGATAAAGTCATAGAAGCTACGGAGGCCAGAAATCCGCCGTTTTCATTCAGTCTGGAAGCAACCGAGAAGTTAATTATCCATTTATTTTTCTTGCCCATTGTAGTGTTCACAAATATAATTCCCAGACATGTAAATTAATTTGATTAGAGTCGATTGCTTGTGCACTCGACTCGTTTTATGGCCTTACCTGTAGTTATGTAACTTAAGTGGATGNATGGGAGACGGCTTAGAAGTTGGAGGCTTCACGTATAAAACATGTAGTTAGAGATCGTCAACCAATAAAACATTAAACTGGTCATTATGTGGACTTGGGTTTTCTTTGCGCTACCTTACGTAAATCTGACACGAACCGTGGAATTTTGAATTGCGTTATCCACTGAGTAAGTCTAAAACGTAATGTCCTATTTCGAGCCCACGCTTGAATTAAGCGTTCTAAATTATATAAGTTTGGGACATTCATCTCATATGTATATGTAAAGGTACATAACACCATGTGTCTGCCTCTGGTCGACAGGACGCAGCCAACGTAAGTCACGGTATGGGTTGCATTGGCTACTGTGGTTTAGGCGAGCTGGCAGTGGTCAAAGGGAACCTTCAAGCAGAGCAATGCATCCAAGTACTGGAAAGGAACTTAAGGTATTCTGTCTTGAATATCTTAGGGGACCATGACCACCCATTTATGTTTCAGCATGATATGCTTCTCCACGCACAGCCAATGCAAAAGTGGGCTGGTTTTACACGAACCAGATCCAGCCCCCCACCCCCACCTCCACCCCCCCACAATGGCCAGCTCAATCCATAGATTAGAACCTTATTAGGAATATGTGGAATATCCTCGGATATGGATAACTGAGGGATAACCATACAAACAAAAACGATCTCATACTATTGTAGCAACTTATGTGGAACGCCATCACTGCGCGAACATCACAGAACTTTTTGACTCCACGAACGGACGCGATAGTTGCGTCCTCCAATCCAGAGGATACTGTACAAAATACTAAAATGTGGCTTTCATTTCTTACTATGGTTAGGTTATTCATTGGTTGTACAAAAATCAGTAAATTGTGTGAAAAAATATTTTAGAAGTTGAAAAAATATTGTATCATGACATGTTGTTCTGTATCACTTTACGCACTGCATAAAGGGTGACACTTTTCTGCAAGGAGAGTATATGTACCCCGGTAATGCAACAATTACGTTGTTACAATGTACAGGGTTATAAATTGCATGCACTAGTGAAGAGATAAATAGACTTTACCTGAATTTTATTACAGATTACTCTGAGGCGTTCTTTCCAAATTGATGTAGATCTAGAGCCAGTAAAAAGCACAAAAGAAAAACCCAAGACAAAGGCGCGCTAGTCAACAACACAGATTCTCTTTGCAAATCAAAAAAGTTTAATAAAAACGCTGTTGGTTTGGTTGTTAAAATGTTTGAAATGCATTTTTGTAATAAATAGTGGGCCACGTGTTATGGAAACTACAGTATATTTTCCAGGCACCTCATCTGTTCATACACATACTATCCCTAGCGAGCTATTTAGCCAGTACTTGCTGACATTCAATCACCACTCAGAGCAATCACTGCATAAGCCGTTCGTGGTTTTAGTCACTATTAATAATAGTCCAAGTTTCATTTTATGTAGCCAGCACGTAAGCACCCGAATAATCTAATATTCTGTTAAGCTATTAATGTATCGTCATGTCTAAAGTGCATCTTTTCTTTAATTTAAAATGCAATGATTGCATATAATATAAACGTGCAGTAGACTAAATTAGATGAAGAAAGCGCGTCCTAATCAGGCATTTAAATACAGCATTTTTGACGTAAGAGCTCAGAATTGTTGTGGTACTTTTGCACTAGAAAAGTGTAATTCAACCGAAAATCTTATTTGTACCCACATCTCATAATTGATTTTTTTTTCAGACACTTCACCCCCAAATCCTTAATTCTCCCCGGACTTTCAGTGTGTCGTACTTCTACTGACGTCTGTCTGCAGACGACATCGATCTCTCTCAGTAACATAGATCCACAGTGTTATCTTATCTAATCTAATCTAATCTGATCAATTTGAAAAACACAACCAATCTAAAACTGCTTTTAACTTTTCGTCTGAGAAATAAGTCTGCGTGCTTTCACCTCAGTGAAAATCCGAGTCAAACGTTGAACTTGGATTGTTTTCCTTCTGGGTCTCCTTGGCTCCCTATTACATGGGTTTGTTTGCACGAGTAGCACAAGACTAGATCAACACAGCACCGTTTGTTTTAATAAACGTAGTTTGTTGGACTGAGAATTTGCATCCCTTTTAAACTGCTGAGATTACATTATTAGATTGTTATTAATGCACGTATAACGATCTCTAGTGAACCTTTTTTGATAGTCATTCATAAGCTTTATATAAGGGAGACACTACAGGTACGTAAGAAGTATATGCTGTCATGGTTACGTATTCTAAGTATCACATCAATTGGTAGACATGTTGCACCATGTATCGCTTAATTGTTCCACAAGAGAGTGTTGTTGCTTCAGCTGCCAACCAGATTGAAGGTAACGTGTTCCATCTTTATATGCTGCACGACCAATACAACAGGAATAAAGTTTTAGACACTAAAATATACTTTTAAAAGGGATACTATGAAGGCATTGTCCTTTACTTTCTGAATATCATTATATATATATAGTACCATATCGCCGGAAGCACTCTTGGTTCGCAACATACAGACTGTACAGCGTGCAAGTGACGGCCCCAGAACCTGGCCTACTTGACCTACAAAGACGATCTTGTAAGGTAAGTGCTGTGTCCAGCGTGTTGCTTCGGAGTTATGCAGATTTAGCTGCAAATGTTACGATTATATTTCTAAGACGACGTCAAATACAGTTGATAATCCTAGGTCACAAAGCAACAGCCTTGATAGCAGTGACTGCTACACAGTACTTAATTGGCTTGAAGGTGGCGGCACGCATTGTTTACAACAGTTTGGGCACCAACTTGGTAGTTTCTCTGAGAACTGACGAACCATATCGTCTACACTCATGCATATAGAGGCACCGAGATAGAACACTGCTGCTCCCCAGCCTAGCCCAAAACCGAAACCGAAACTGTGGTCCGGAAGCTTCAAGACAAGCTCTGTTCCTACGGGAAAAGTGACCAAGGCCGCCACTGCTGCTAACGCTGAAAAATAAAGAACGGGTAATAATGAGAGGGCATGATGTATGCAAATAAGTGTATGAAATACATTCAAACATTTTCAAAAGTAAATCATCTATACCAACAAACTAAACTTTTATTTTAGCACCTTCCCCATGCTTTCAAAATGGTTCTTACAATCAATCTCACCAACTGCATTTTGTGTTTGTTCACTCAGCAACTGAGTAATTGTGATAAAATGTGTTTATAAGGATTGTTTACACGAAAATGTATATTATTGCTCAGAATATTGTTAACAATATTAAAACTTTTAAATATTTCTTGAAATGCTGAAATCTATTGAGACACAAACCAATATGCGTGAATATCTTTTCATGAAGGCGTTAACCTCTTTCAACGCCTTTCGGTAGGTTGAGAAATATATTACGTAATTAAATGATGGTATGTGGTTTAAGATAGATCCTACACGTATTTTAGCTTGTTTAAGCTGATTTTTTTTCTCTAAGCCTATCAAATATCAATTTACAAATACAGATGCTATATACCATATTATTTATAAGTCGTTTGCATTTGCCGGGAAAAGGTCCGCTGTGGGTAAAATTTGATCCAGGTTCACGAAGGTTACATTTTTCAGAAAACGACTCCCCCCTTCCACCTTTGAAACTGCTGACTACGGACCGGGATTATAATCTTTTTTGATTTGATGACTGTAAAATCATGAACATCGCCACAATATGATGTAGAATAGAAGCATTTTTATCCCCGTGCCACTCGTATATTGGATACGATGCATGCTGTGTCGGATATAGCTCTGTGTTCCCAGCTACCTGTATCTCTGAAACTCTGGGCGACACAGCAATGATCAGACTTAAATTTGGATAATGGATTATATTGTCGCTGTTATTAGGACGTAGGCTGCCATGTAATAGCTGCATAATGGCTTAATCAATAACATATCAAATAAAGTAATTCATTTTGCACAGCCTGATATACATATATCATCGTCAGTGCTGTCATAACTAGGGAACCTTCTATTCCCATTTCTGTCTACGCATGCATACAGAAATTTGAAAACTCACAACAAAGAGGTATTTGGGGATTAACTATCTCGGGATTGGGGTGGGGGGGGGGTGCAGGGTGTTATTGAAATAACCTAAGTTAATTTGTCACGTCGCGTTCGTACAGGGGTATATGTAAATATACCGCGGTAAATTTGTAAATATTCGTCGACAAGGCCCGTGTTGATTACAGATTGTCAAATGCCCAGCTAATAAAGTGCATGTCGATGTCGCGAGTTTTGGAGCCTAAAAAGAAGCGAAATCTTCATGACAGTAAAAGAGGAAAGTGATGTGCTCCTCGTAGATTTGGCATTTGTGCATGGGGTCAGGGAATGACGACACTGACGTGGCCCACCTTACTACGCGCATAAAGCTAATTGGTTATTATGCTTAAGTTATTAATCCATAAATGTTTAACAATTTACTCCATAATAACATTATGCTTCTAAGTACTTAGTTATATTACCCAAATTTAACCATTATATTCTGGCCTAGTATTTGACCCCTTCCCACACGCATTTGAAGTTGCGTTTATTTCTTGAAACTTACCACGCATCATACCGATGATATGCCCTGTGGAATACAACTCATTCTAAACCATTCTTCTGATGAATGCAGTGTATACCTACGGTTAATGAGAACTATGTCCCCCGAGAAATTTTGACAAATACTCTTTTGATCAAAACCGTGAATACTTACCACATATTAGAAAAATCTCCCCAGCGGAGTGAAAGTAATATATTTTCTTGGCCAAGGCAGTGCTGCAGACGCCACACATGGAAAGAACTGTTGCTAGGACACCAAAGCCCAGAGAGAAAATAAGAAGCCCTATAACTGCATTCTGCCAATCTGAGAAAAAAATCACATTATCAAGATTAAAACAATTAACAATTAAGGAATTAAAGTTATATTGTAAATGAATTTAATATTATACATACATAATTCCTTATTATTCCTTTAAATTTCTGTACACTTATCGGTCAAGAGATCAAACTGATCTTTATCTCGAACATTAACCTAAATCAAATAACGTTAATATTTATATAATGGTATATTTATAGGTTGAGATATCAAACCAAAACATCATTTAGTTTATCGACCCAGTGATGGAATATTATATATCTACAATAAAATAGTATATTCAGTTGGAAATCATTTGTAAACACTGCAGGAGATCCTACATTAAGTCTCATTGGTGCATTTGTTAATAATGCTACATCTTTCCGGTTCAGTGCATTTACGTTACTTGGGTATCCGCCAGTGATTTTTTGTGAGTTTTCATTTGTAACCCGGTAGGAAGAATGAGTAAATAAAACAAAACATATGTATATATGTACACACACACACACACACACACACACACACACACACACCGCATGTATTTAGTAAGTTTCATATGAAGGCCACTGCATAACATGGCTACACGGTTTAATATATCGATTATCACCCGGCAGATAAATCATCCGCCTGTGCCCTTTATCTAATTATTCTCGCGTTTAGGGGGCATGTCAAACAAACTATCTGATGTGTCATCTACTCTACAGCGAGTCCATGGAGTCTAAAAGACCATACACGGTGATGGCAAGCAGATGAAGAATCACGATTTAACCTCTGAAGCCCAGGATATGTGGAGTTCTTATACACATCTATTGTAACAATGTAACCAGTCGCACGGTATAGATTTGTATTAAAATTGCTATCTAGACTTCAATGTGATATTTAGACATCACATATACGCACGTTTGAGGAAATACACAGGTAAACGCACACACAGATAGCCCTACATGTACGCTCCAACTAACATATCAAATTTTATTTCATAAAACCATTTATGTACCACTTATATTTTGCCAATCATGTACAAAGTAAAACTATACTTATGTGTTTTAAAGATATTAAAATAAATATGTTAATACATGGCCTGTGATAAACGTCTCTCTCTGTGCATTCTGTGAAAGCAAGGTCAAGGCCGCGTGACGTGTTGGTTTCACACACCTGAAATACGCCGGACTGAAAATCTGAAAAAAAAAATCATAAAACTAAATTGAATACAACGCACAACTATATATTAAATTGCTGATGTAGATAATAACATTTTCATCAACTCAAAACATTTGTGAACAAAATGGGAGTGGCCTTGCGTGTGGTTTCGAAATATAAGATAACGCGACAAAACGAACAATACAACAGCAACAACACAATTATAATAGAATCACACATATTCAACCTCAAGTCATATTTATCATCAAATTGACGCAAAGGTATAAAGTACTAACTTTTTCTCTAAACAATCAAAAAACTTAGAAGCGTGTTTTTTTCCCAAGGACTACAATGCAGTATTCACAATTTATTTTGAGAAACTAAATTGTAAGTACTTTTTATTTTGTTCTCTTTAACCCCCTTTCACCAATAAGACAGAAATGACCCACTGAGCACCAATCAATGCCGCATTATTCAAGCGCTGTTATTTATAGAGCATTAGTTCTAGCTAAAGCCTTTTGATTCTTGCTTAAGAGCTTATTGACCAACGCAATTGCTGTTCCGAACATAAGATAGACATTGTAATGCCCTTTTAAGACATGGGTAGATAGTGCGCACAAGACTGATATCTCCAAACCTATGAACGCCATCATGGCGGGCCCTTACACATGTGAACAAAAGCTTTTTATTTGAAACACTTTGGGCAAAGACATGTACGTTGACTGTATCAAGTGTGTTTTTAAAGACGCAATACCAAATTACCAAATATCAAACTCGTGTTTCTACTTCTAAATGTCCCAAAAAGCAACTTCTCTTTACCAATTCTGACCTTAAAAAAGACATACCCCTCATATAAAAATACCCAATGTGAATATTTTACTTCGGAAATGTAATACTGAGATACTACTGGTATGGCGGTTGAAAAGAATTACGATTCGTTTATACCCCCGTCACACTAGAGGCGGAATGAGCAAGAATGCCGTCGTAAAGACAATTCTTTGTGCACTCCTGGATATTCGAAGAGCATTCTAAAAATTCCGAGTGCATTCTAAATATTTTTACCCATTCTTGTGGCATCTCGAGTGTTTTTGTCATGTCAAAAACTTTCGAAGTGCATTCCAAGTGGAAATTTATCGAATGGCATTTGAACAGTATTCTAACTGCACTATGACTGCATTCTAAATATTCTCACGGCATTCCGACAGCATTCGAAACATTCTGATCACATTAGAGGAATATTCGAATTGACAATTGACTTAAAGCCCCCGTCAAACTTATTCGAAATCAGTAGGAATCAAGTCGGAATTACTAAATTTAAAAATTCGTACCATATTCGGGAGGGAATTTCAAATTATCATAAAATATTACGGCTTTGTAAGAATGCCTCTGGAATACTAAGAATGCACATAGAACCCGCCTGGAATGATTCTTGCACATTCCAGGTATATTACCTCTCAAATGCAGCTTGAATGTAGTTGGAATACTGTAGGGATATTGCGATAAATTTCCTCTTGGAATGCACTTCGAAAGTTTTTGACATGAAAAAAACATTCGAGCCGGCACAAGAATGGGTGAAAATATTTGGAATGCACTCAGAATTTTTAGAATGTTTTTAGAATGCTCTTCGAATATCCTGGAATGCACAAAGAATTGTATGTCAGACGCCATTCTTAATCATTCCGCCTCTAGTGTGACGGGGATTTTATATTCCGCCAGAATGTTTCGAATGTGCCACGGATGAGCTGAAATATTAATGTTGCCAGCAATCGAACTACGCTAGTGCGCCGTTCAAAGTATATTCTAAATATTCTTACTGCCTTCTTACAGCATTATAAATATTCCTAGTTTTCCAACTACATTCGAACTGCTTTTGAGAGCTAATACGGTCGAAAGTGCATTCATCATTCCAGGCGAATTCAAGCGCATTCTGAGTATTCCAACGGTACTCTTACAATAATTAAGGTCAATTTGAAATTTTTACCCGAATGTGGTGCGAATTTTTAAAATTCTTCGTTCAGGCTCATTCTTCTTCATTCCTGCTGATTCCGAATAAGTGTGACGAGGGTAAAAGGTTATAAGCGGACGAACGGGATGTGGTTGCTAATTCGTTCATGCTCTTTACGTTTATCAATTGATGAGTATATGCCACTTATGCCGAACATGGGGTTAAATCCCGTATGTAATTTAGATTTCTTTTTGTCCGAAATTCTAACCCTTTCTCTGCCCGGCTTTGTCACTTTCCACATAGCTTTTATTTTGGTATCGCTATATACAAGTCCACAAATGTTCAATATGTGTCTTAAATTCTAACATAGAATGTATAATAAAAAAAACCACTTCTGCTACAGCTCACTAAACGAGATATACCGGGGTACATGTACATATACCCGCTGTTCTTCCTCTGTACGAGGCACACGGCCAACACTATCCTGATTAAAAAAGAACGCATTATAACCGATACCATTCTGGCTCATATTAAGAGCTCGCGAGCAGCAGCCTGATCTGGTTATGATGTAAATGTGCCTTGAATCCACCATGGATACAGTAACACTCGCAATTTCGTGGTTAACCTTTCAACCCAAGGTTGTTTGATCGTGTGATCTGAGCGTCCCTGAATGCGTGCGTAATGTGGTCATTTGGGAGGATTAGAGGATCGATACGTGTTGTACCCAGTCATATTATGAGCCCCATCGCTTAGACTTAGACACGCGGCCAACTGATCCAAAGCTTCTCTTGGGAAATCATGAACGCCATCGAACGCCTTTCCCCCATCAGAATCATAATAGTGTCCCGATGTATTTGGAGTTAAACTGTACACACGCAAAGATAAAGCCGTCGAATGATTTGTCTCGACGTTTTTCAAATTCTGTCTACATTATAAAGGTAAAAGTTGTCACATTCTGAGTTTTGCGTGAGGTTCTGTTTTTCCAAATTTGACAATGTAGACACCCTTTCGCGTGAATGGCAATAATTGGTCATTACTTCACTTTTATATTTGCATCTACAATACAATTTCACGTCTTCAGTCGGATGGTGTATACTTATATCAAAGAGCAGATGTAAGCACTGATTTCCTATCAAAGTTTAGTGTTTCATTTGTGATGATTGAAGTGAAAACAAGCAAACAAGAGCTTGGGCCCAAAAGAAGGAAGCATTTTTATGCACTTACGAAACGTGTTTATAAACACAATTTTTAACAGTCTGGAGTATTTATGTCCTGATCCAGAATTTTCAAGGGACATTTATGAATGAAATAACACAGACTTAGTATCATCGTTTTACGTCTTCCACAACACATGCTAAGAGCAATCAGTACTAGGAAAGCACTTCTTGATAACACCAAATTAAAAGGCATGGTGAATATCATATAAAACGCCACCAGTTGGCGGCTTTGATTGCACTGACAGAAGGTCAAATATTGATTGACTTCACAACGGTACAGACTAGGCAAGAAGTAAACCTTCCCGATCAACTACGTACCCACCTTGTCAGTTTTAATTGCGACTGTCTTTATTCTTTTACTAATTTCATTTTTTCCCTTTGTCTTTACAGACTTATATATAACTGATAGTGCCTCCTCTATCCATTCTTAAAGAGAGCATATACTACTTTTGCCTCCCTTTCCTATCTTTAAACTTTGTTCAAAACATTAGGATTATCGACCGTTGTAATACCAGACAGTGATATGAGCTTAATGTCAGTAAAATTGAAACTGGACTGAAAAAAATTGAAGCTATGGTAGGCCTTGGTTCTCCGGCCCCTATATTAAATTAAAGTAACAAATAGAAAAAATAATTGACCTTTTATAATATCCTTCTTTTACTTAAGGGTGCTCAGCGGATTATATCTTGGCGAAGCAGCATCACGCCTTCACTCAGCCATTTTGTATTGGAATTCTGGCACGTCGTTGTGATAGTGATTTGTAAAACAAGTAGCAGTGTAACAACACTCCCGTACATGTAGCAGGCATATCAACTTAAGATAAACCGCGCAGAAAGAATTGATATGTAAACTAGTCACCCACACACCCTGGTGCCCCCCCCCCCCCCACCACACACACACACGATGTTAATATACTTAGAGCTTCAGCATCTAATCAGTTCTTTATTTCACTCCCAGGGGATTGGAGATATACTATACTTTCTAGCAAAATAATATGACGATCAATTCGCTTTGAAAATCATAGTGCACCTCTCTGCGCGATTGTTTTCATATTTTTCACTTACGTCGTTACACATTTTAAAGGTGAAACCCCACGCTTATACTTATTTAAANTTTTCTAACCTTTATATGATATTTTAAGTCATTAGAAGACTATGTACTTGAAGTTTTAATTTGAAAAGGTATTTTGGTGGCCATATTGGATTTGACGGCCATTTTGGAATTTTCAGACATGCCCATATATCCAAATTTGCTTAAAATTTTATTGTCCATAAGTGTGCCAAATTTCATGCTTGTAGGTAAAAAATGCACAATTTTTCACCAATTTCCTGGACTATATAGACAAAATACCACCACAACGCCCATCACATAAAGAACAAAAGATGGCCAGGAAGTCAAGTGGTTTGGGTTTCACATTGAGCCGTTTACCCTCAAACCACTTTCCACGCGTTTTGTGGGTTTATTTTGTGATTACTTCTTTCTGCCTGGCGGATGTAAAGGATGTGCGTGTAAATTTTATCTCCTACGATGTGTTTTTTGTCTTTCGTTATCGTGTTAGAGCTGATTTATACTGTTGAAATGTGCCGCTGTTTCAAACTGTTATCTTGGACATAATAACGAAAGGACGTGAAACGCGTAGCAAGATCAAAGGATAATCGGCGCGAGCTCTTCATGAAACCATGTGCGTTCGGATCACATGACCTCCCGTACAGGTAACGAGCGTATCGCAGTTGTCGTTGACTTTTTGTGACATTCGGGGAGGTAGTTCGCGATAACGTGAGGCAATCTTTCCAGTTGATGAGACAATAAATTTATAGAGATTAATTATAAGTACAATTTGTTCTATCAATTTGGAAGCTATGTGAGAATTTGATAT